TGTACGGCGTTGGCCTCGAAAGGCTTTTCATCGGCCGGGTGTATAGACACCTTCTGGCCGTCCCAAAAGAATAATAGCTGGAAGAGAGAGGACGGTATACACCCAGACTGATGGATCCAATCGCGACCGAGCAGTATGTTGTAGTCGACGCTGGATTCGACCACGTAGAAGGCCGCGACCCTTGTCTGGTCGGCCACGGTAATCTTTAAGGGCAATACGCCAATGGTCTTAGACTTGTCGCAGACAAAGCTACTCATGACCACGTCGCTGGGGATGAGGTCCTCCTTTGACTTGTCTAGCTTCCTCATCAAGGAATAAGGGAGGATATTGACCGTTGCCCTACAGTCAACGGAAACCTTGGATATAGGCACACCCTCTATATGAGCCGAAATGTATAACGAGACAGTCTCTGGACTTTCGCCACATCATCGCGCTCTTAATTCGCACGAGCCATCATTCTTCCTTAGTCTTTGGTCTTTGATCAAGCTGCTCCTCAGCCACGTCATCCTCCAGGCCGTTGGTCTGTCCCCCTGGGGCTGAAAACTCGGATGGTAGCACCATGACCATGTTGATGCCGACTTCATCCGGCTCCCGCGGGTTTCCCCTACCGGCTTCTTCTTCGGCCTTAGAGCCGTCTTTGGCGAGGACCGTTTCCTCGACCATCCCGAGGATCCCCTCATATTCTTCATCGGAGATTCCTATCGTGGGGTCGTCTTCGGCCTCATGCTCGAAGAAAGGATCTCCGAAAACCTCGACCATAGGCCTTGTGGCCCTTGTTGATGCCGACTTCCTCCGGCTCCCGCGGGTTTCCCCAACCGGCTTCTTCTTCGGCCTCAGAGCCGTTTCCTCGATCATCCCGAGGATCCCCTCATATTCCTCATCGGAGATTCCTAAAGCGGGGTTGTCTTCGGCCTCGTGCCGAAAAAAGGATTACCGAAACCTTCGATCATAGGTCTCGCGGTCCCCTGCTGAAGGGGATTTTAGCCTCTGATCCGCCGAGGTCGGGCTGGTAACTTGGCAGGCCTCTTGCTCTGGCTTCCCTGTTCGCCTGGTATATGGCCTTAATGGCCGAGTCAGAACCGCTGGTGATGAGGAGCGCTTCTGCCTTTGTGTTTTTGAGAGCCAACTCCACGATTTCACGGCTTTCAGGGGTCATGCCGTATAGGTCCGTGGCCAAATGGTCCTTATGGAATTCTTTGAGAAAGGAAAGACCGTTGGCCGAAAAAGGGGGGTCTCTCCCGCGGTAGATGTCGACGACACCCTCGTCTGTCCTCTCCATGACCGCGGCTTTTGGCTGAACTGAAATGGCCGATGATCCATGGGGACTCTCGTCCTACCTAGGGCGCCACATCCTCAGAGGCTTGGTGCTGGCCGCTTTCGTCGTCGGGGGAACAACTGGCATGGATGATGGCCCGTCTGCAGTCGCCACCTTCTTTTGGCGCTTGGATCCTTCGGCCTCGGTCGTTTGTATTTTGGCCTGCTGAACCTGTCTCTGCATCCTCCTCAGGTGGGTTTTTGTCAGTGGTTCAGCCCTGCCCCCAGGCCGTACATGGTACCAACGGTCATCCTTTATGACCGGCGGTTTGAAAGTTTTCCTTGGCCTAAGGGCAGCCTCTTCTCTGTGGTCCACCGAGATGCTGGGGGTTTGTGGCCCCAGTCGGCTAAAAACGGCTCTGCTGGCCGGCCGTCGGTCGTATTGGCCTCCGAATTTCTTTATGGTCGTTTGAGATGGCTCAGCGGCCTTCCTCTTGCTTTCTTGCGGCCTGGGCTGACCGATCTCATACTTGCATCGTTCGCAAATGCCCGACTCTAGTTCGGCCAATGGCTCCTTCCCTTTCGCCGACCGACGAACTTCCCTATACCCGGCTGGGAGTTGGGCGTCGACCATGTTGACGACAGGTGGAGGGAATGGCTTGGAGTCAACCTGCATGGCCGCCTTCTCCGGAAACTGGAGCTTCTTTTCGTCTATTAATTTCTGGATAACGTCTCGCAAGACAACGCAGTTGTTGGTGTTGTGAGACCAAGAACTGTGGTATTTGCAAAACGTCTTCCCTTTAAGCTCATCGGGTTTCGGAATTTTATGGCCGAAAGATAATTTGACCTTTTTCTCGGCCAATAGCAGGTCGAAGATAGCCTCGGCCCTTGTTAAGTCAAAAGTGTAGGCCTTCGTTTCCCGCATCGCGAACTTGGCGTCAGGGATTTTTGTGCGGCTATTGTCAGTTTTAACAAGCCCTTTGCAAACGAAGGGTTTGTCTATGTTGACTTCGGCCGAACTCATCTCTACCTCATCGCCCTCGGCCTCCGCGGAGTCGTCTGCTTCAGCATAGCTGATGATGGGATTCCTGTAGTAGGTCCCTTTTGAGGCCGTCTTCTTCTGCATCTCTTCTCTCAACAAGGACGCATACCTGCCCACCTTATTGGTCAAGTCATGCATGTCCCGGAATTCGATTCCCTGAAATTTCTTCCGGTATTCGAATTCCAGTCCTTCCTCGGCCATCTTGACGAACTCCCTCTCTGGTAGGTTCGTGCGGCACCAATTCCTACATGTTTTGAATCGTTGTAGGTAATCGTTATTTCTCGATTGGTCTGATAGAAATGTTCGTGGAAAACCCTTTCCATATCAGACCAATCCCTTATTGAATTCGGCGGAAGGTTTATGAACTATGAGAACGTCGCGCCGGTCAAAGAATGGACAAATAAACGGAGCTTTTGGGCGTCCGAATCGGCCTCTCCACACTGGGCCGTGAAACGGCCTATGTGCTCAATGGAGGAGGTCTGCCCATCCCCAGAAAAAAGCATGAATTCTTGGCGCATCCGGCTGCCTCTGAGCTAGGCCGTCTTCGATCATCCGCCGGACATCTTCGAACCGGATCCCTTGAGGTGGTGCCTCCTGCTGGGCTGCATACGGCCGCGTGACCTGTAGCACCTCGTTCTGTGGCCTTATCTATTGGGCCACTTGAACAAGGGGCTCGGCCGGGATGACTGAGCTGGTTGACGCCAGATGAGCACCGTGGGTTTGGCCAAGGTGCGTATGCACTGCCGTTGGAATGGCCGACCCGTAGTGAAGGTGAGAGACCAACGGACACGACGACGCCTGCAATGGAGGTGTCGCGGGCGAGGCTACCGGCATCCTCTCCTGAAAAAGAGTTCGCAGTTCTAAAGAGAATCTGTCCATTGCGGCCATGAAGGATGTTTCTATCCTGTAGGCCTGCTTGGACATTAGCTCCTCCACTACTGCCTGTTCCTGCAA